AAAAGACCATTATTCTGTTGCCACTCAAATTTCAGATACAGACACACATGAAAGATGGACAATTATATGTTTGGGATGGGACAAGACAGGGACAAACAGTTATCTTACTTTGTATTTTCTAGGTTCCTCTGCCCTTTCTTATCTCTTCTTTTTCACTTTCGTCCAATTTATTTTCATTCCTTTTCAATCTTGATTTCCCATTTATTTCAAGTTGATTCTTATAGTTAGATCCATTTTTCTAAATCGTTCTAATAGTTATAAGTCATAATTATATTGAATAAATGACAGAATTTCTATGCATGCATGAATGTTTTTACCTGAGTCGAGATCTTTTTTGACTATTGAGTCAAAATTGTGGAAAAGAGATAAATTGATGTGGAGTGAAAATTTGAGTAGATTATAAAAATCAAATTAAAACTTTGTTTCTTTTTCCCTCCAATTCAATAATAGGTGGGTTGTAATTCGAACCTCCGATCTTTTTCTGGTCGAGACTCTTTCATCTCTGTTCGACTAATTGACCTAATAATTAGGCGCACTACAAGATGTCAAGCGATCTCATCCCTAACAAAACAACTTTTACTTTTCATAACCAAAATAAAAGAAAGTCATGAATCTTGTAGAAGGTAATTTCATACTGATCTTACTGAAGAAGTAAGAAAAGTGCTCTAAAATGGGTCGTTTCATGATATCGAAATAAAAGTTGGTTGTGGAGCCAATCCGATAAAAAATTCAAATAAGAACTATCTAAAATATTGAATCTAAATCCAAACCATAGATATTTTTTTAAATACAACAAGTGGTGGTGGGGAGTCTCGAACTCATAGCCTTTTGACCAGAGAGGTGTGTCATTCTTGCTGAGGTAAGTTCATGTTGGCATCTATTAAATTCATAGTCTAATGAGTTATTATAAATATATTATAGCATAGCATATAGCCACTCAATTTTAATTTCGTAATAAACAATGTTTATAAGCGGCTTCTCGTAATAAACTCAAGCTAATGACGATTAAGCATCGGTTTATATTAAGCGGTTTGTCTCTAATCAATTGTTGTTTTATGATTAGTTAATTTGGAACTGCCACAGTTGTTGTCAAATAAATTGGCAACTGGTGTGGTTCGTTGATATATAGAATATAGTTTGTTTCTTTACTTAAATTTTAAGATATGATTTCTTTTAGTTACAAATATTAATAGAAGTGGCTTTGTACTTCTTTTTATGTTTAATGCTATTTTTCTGTTTTTTTTTTAAATTACATGTTTAATTGCAAAACTTTCAAAATTAGCAATTTTTAGATGATAAGACAATACTTAATAATTTTATTGATACCAACGAAACTTGACTTTAAAGACCTTCTAAAATTATTTTCTAAGATTTATTAAACACTTTTTAAACAGAATAAGACACAAAAATTTTATTGCAATTACTATTAAATACAAACTTAGAAAGTTCAGTTACATTTTTACAATATTTATTTTGGTGTAATCCTAGTTGGGCTTGTAGCGACCCAATTGAAGTGGATGGTGGATCTCCGAGCAATGGTTAATTCGTTGGGCCTACAATATTTGAGCCCACTTTATTTGGGCTCCAGCGACTCTCGAATTAAATGGCCCATCTTAAAGCTTGCCGGAAGTTTTCGAAAAATATTATAAAATAAAAATTTATTGGAATTGAATTCTTTTGGTAAATTTTCATTTGAAAATTTGATATCCAATTTGTTAGATGTGATTTCAAATGTTTATATAGGTGGGTATATAAAGGTTTTGATATATTGCTTCGCCTATGTTGATCAGATAAATGAATAAATAATAGAGAGATTTCCATAAATAGTATAAAATAAATATACTCATCAATATGAAATTTTACAAAAATAACAAAACCCAAATCAAATTTAAACTTTAATACACTATAAAATGCAATAAAAGAATTTCACGATTATGTTATATTTAAAAGTAAAAAATAGATATATATTTAAATAAATATATATTTAAAATTTTTAAAAATACATATCAAAGAGATCAATTTCTATATATAAAAAGTTTTTATTTAGAACATAAGCGGTAAGTATTAAGATTATCAGTTCAAAATTTTAAGACTATAATACAATAAACATTTAAATTAAACACTCAAAAAAGTAATTTAAAACCAACATAAACATATCTTATCGATAATTAGCATCTACTTATATTTTTTAAGTTGGATGTTCAAACTCTCATACCCCAATTTATTATACTAAAAAATAAAAAAGTACTTTAAAGTCAATCAATATATAATTTTAGTGATTTTTTTAAGTGGTATATAATTTTAGTGGTCGGACATATACGATGATTGTAAAATTAGAGGTCACTATTATAAAAAATTTAAATTTTCATTTCCATTATTAAATTCAAAAAATTAAAAAGAGCGAGCCAAAAAATAAATAAAATAAGTAAATAAATAAATAAATATATATATATTTATATATTTAAAATTGTATTTACTCACATGTATTTGGCCTGAATTCCCTATATGAAAAAAAGTATTAGGCCTAAATTCTCTCCAACATATTTGTAATGTTCCTTACAAGAGAAAACCGAAGCATAAATCTAATTACTAAAAAAAAGAAAAAACCATAAATGATATTTGTGTATTATCTGCTGCGATGGACGCACCGAAAGCAAAGGCATTATTCGAACAGCACCGACATATGGTATTCAATGATTGGCTAATTGTACGAGCTCAAAGTAAATCCGCTGATCTCGAGCGCAGTGGATATTTCCCCAGCTTTCCCTGCCTTTTCAGTTTTCCCGCAGCTCTCCAACGCTGAATTTCATTTTACTTTCTTGACTTCGCCATTTTCCAGTCCCTTTCCGGCTCCGGCGACCCCTAATGATCGATCTCAGTCTATAGACCACCGTTCGCTGCCGGAACCCTTACCA